ATATATATATATATGTATATATATATATCCACCAGCTAAATCATGAAATCAGACTAAACCACTTGAAACAGTATGAACGAGGCACAATTTCAAAGAGAGGATTTGATCACGAATTATGCCAGGGTGTAAAAGGGAGAGGAGGGAGGGTGGGTGGGAGAACAACGACAAAAAGGATCGATACACACGGCAAAACCGATGATGCTGAGCATCCCATGAATTCAGTCTTCTAAATTCGATTAATCTTGTTTATAGCAAACTTATCAGTGATGGGGTATATTCTGGTATAACAAATATCAATAGTTATGTCAAAACCAACATGATATGAAGCCTCAGAATCGATATGATGCACATGTGCGATGTAACACTTTGGACCCATATGAGATGGCGAACCGTGGCCATGTCGGTCAGGGTAGTACGAGACAACGTTGTGCAACGTGCGACGTGAAACCATATAAGTTGATCCACGTTGTATGGGGTATATGAGTCAATCACCCAAAGCATTGACGGTCATTAACGAATCATGTATGATCGACCCTTGATAATAAGTATAGAAGCTAACCCCTAGCCAGGGGATGAGACCTCCAACACTCGAGACACTCTCAACTCCATTTTATACTTATGTAAGTTTCGAAGGGATCGAGAGGTCCCTCCCCCCACAACTTTGACTTATGTGTGTAGAAACTTAGACACGGAAAAGCACATTATGGAAGAATCGACTCTCAGCTCCTCCTTGGGTCGACCCAATCGATGACGCTCTGACCTTACTTAGCATCGACCCTCTCGCCTCAAGAATCTGTGTGAATGATCTTGTGTTCTCGGGATCGAATCGAGCACCAGCAATACTTCCCTCTCATGGAACAAACATTTAAGATTGACAAATTGCCTCAATATTCACTCAAAACAATTACGTTATCAAATTTGAATTGATTTTTTGTTTCTACGCTATCTGAACACGAAAACCCACTACAAGTTTGGAGGACTCAGCTTTTTAGATTAAGCTTGTTTCCTTCTGAGGCTCTGCAGGCTTTTTCTCATCCTTCTGTCCTTTTCTCATCAATAAGTTACAAATGGAATAAATCAACTTTTGGATTTTTTCGTTTCTTGGAGTTGTAAAATTGCATCAAAGCCAAAATCATTTCCCGGTTGGAATGTTGATTCAAGCTCTTCATAGCTCTGCTTAACTCTAAGATCTTTGGTTACCTTGAAGCTCTCCTGTAACATGTATTCAGTAAAAGCATGATGGATGACTACAATTAGGAACAACCGAAGAGAAGAAAGAGCTCACTGTTCTTTCTAAATTACTGGTACTAACATGGACACCATTAAAAATACTTACAATGATGTAACACATGATAGCAGCATCTTAAGATAAAGGTACCTTTTCAATATATTCAGCGACTGTAGCATTGATGATTTTCTTGATAGAGTGCTTGTTAACTTTTGATGGCCCAATGACGTGCAGGAGAATATCTTTTGGTATCTACAATTAAAGAGTACAATATTGAAAATCACCACCATTCATATGATAAATGTAAATAACTGCACTAAATTCAGATATCAGGAAAAAAAAAAAATCGGATGTCAGGTACTAGCATTGCTTTAATGAAGCCAATAGAAGAAATATACCAAAACAGCACATTCACCTGTTTCTAAAACAATTTTCAGCTTCTAGCTACGTAAATGTACATTGGGCAATCTAAAACTCGGTAAAAAGTTCAGAAACAAATTTGCCAGAGAACCTCAGGAAATTCACAAAATATGTGGTTGCCAGTAAAACTAACAGCTCAACTAAAATCAATTGGACAGGAAGACAGGAAGACCATCGAAATTATTGAGTCACTTTGACAAAGTCTGCAGGGTGTTGTATCTACATAGCTAAATCTTATTTCAAAATAAGAGGAAAGGCGAATTACCAAAAGGAAACTACTTCATGCTTTAGTCTACGCTTTGTTTTTGCTTTCTCTATTATTCATGGAACTAGTAAAATTTCAGGTGCTAAAAATAACAAGAATTCAGATGGTCCCGTAAAAGCACATTTCCTATGTGAAGTCCCAGGGTCTCTTTGGGTCTTTAGTTTTACCAAACAAGGTCTGTTATACCTGGCCATATGATTGAAATTATATCCAATCAGATCCGTAGTCAGCAAATTACCAGACCTGCAAGGTTTTATTCATTCCTATCTGTTGATGTAGCCTCCTTCAATTGTAATTCCTAAAACCTACAATTTTTCCCATAATCAAAATTTGTAGTCTTAGACTCTTAATAAGTCCATATAATTATAATTCCAGACTTGGTTGCCTGTGTGACTCAAACACGTTAATGCAAGTTTGAACTTCAAGAGTAGGCAATGTGGGGGAACGGTAAAATATCCATCAACATCGCTATCTAACACCTTGTTGATTCTTACCCAGATTATCAACCAGTATTGGGAAGTTTTACACTTCACCAGAGAATTGGATGTAAAAACTACAAGTCAGAAGCAACAATCTGTCAGTATACATATTATAAACAGAAGCATCCTGATGCTTTCACAAAGTGCTGCATTATGGGCACAAAAGCTTTCCATTTGACTTGCAAAAGCCAGTCAAAACCACACACTAGTTGTCTGGACACTTATGAGTAAGACTACTTTGATAAAATCTAGATCTTTCTAATCAAAATTAGTATCACAGCATTGAATTTATGAAGAGGATCTGTTTTCCAATTGAGAATTGACGAGGTCTACTAACAAAAGATTGAGAAAATCAGATGGCTTCATAGATTTCTGAAGCCATTTTAAATCAATCACCGACATTCCAAGTGACATTCTAATGTCCAGAAGAGAACATTTTACAGGGTAACTACTTGACTAATGCAACTTGCATAACAATAAAAAGATGACATAAGCAGTAAAACTTACATCAGGAGTCTTCCCTGATACATCCAAGAATTTTTCCACCAGTCATGAACAATGGGAACCAACAAGAATACAAGTCAGTTTATTCTGTGAAGGACATCTTGATCAACATTTAATAGTGCAGAGAAAGCAACAAAAAAGATAGCAATCTGTAAGATGATTCCAAATGCCATGTTCTTCAAGTAATGAAAGCTACTGAAGTTCTAAAAGTTATAGACGATAATAACTGAGTGTAAAAATGGAAAAGATATAAAAGTTGATATCATCCTGTCCCACAAACCAAGGATCACACATGAATGCAATGTAAATGAGATCAGCCAATCCGTATTGAAGTATCCAGTAGTGGCAGAATGACTGAAAAAGGAGTTAGTTTGGCATAATGCAGGTGGTATGATGGTTATTTAAAAACTGGTGACAGTTCTCTGAATCAAGCACAATGAAGGGAAAAAGAGGTAAGCAGCTGATCTACCAAACCACAATAATTGCAAAAAAAAAAAAGCCTTTTGTGACATGCCATTCAACAAACCATGTAGCTTGAAACTGTGGAGATATGCTTGTCATGAATAAATATGATAGTGTGAATGTATTGTAAATATTCAACAAATTCAAAATGTGATATCAGATTCACCTCCTTTCACTCTCCGAAAACCAGGAATTGGTTGTGCAGCAGCAACTAATTTGGAAAACACATCATCAAAGATGGCCTGAGTTCTAGTGCCAGATACATCAACCCTAATCTGCATCCAAGGTTATGTCACAATTTTAAGTTTGTATGCTCTCAAGAATTATGCCAAAGCTTCAGGGAAATACATAGTCAATAGTAAATGTCAAATAACTTGCAATTGACAATCTTCAAGATCAATCCATAATTATTGGAAAATTTATTATCAAACATTCAAACATGAAATAAACAAAACATATTAGTGATTTTTACCTTTAACTCTCTATCATCTGAGTTGTTAACAGTAACAGTGAAGTCCTCAAAAGGAGACATGGAATTACCAAGACTCTCAGGATCTGCATTTCAAATATGGAGAATAGGTTATTACACATATGCTGATTGGTAAAAGAAGTAGCATAGACTTCTACCTGAAGATATTGCTTCAATTGCATCAATACTTTTGTAGCCATCCCTGTATAGATCTGGAATTTTTTAATAAGGGTGTAACTCTGGCTATGTCATCGGTTGCAATTAGAAACAAAAAGGATGCACGGAGAGGCAACTGTGATATTTGCATGTGTTTTTTCTTTAAGATAAAAGAAGTTGATGGAACTAGAGCACAAGTAATTAGGAGGGGAAAGCAGGACAGGTGGAGAAGCAGGATACAACATAACTATTCTATTGCCACTATGACTCTGACATAGTTATAAACTCTGAAGAACAAAGGTATTTTTTTAATATGAGAAAGAAAGTGGATGTGAAGCAGAACTTAGTACATGTAGATTCCAACATTGTTGTTAACGGAAATATACAGGAATTTTATGAAGTTCAAAAGTACATGGAAAGATATTCTATAAAACCTAATAGAGATTTCTCATCAAAATATATTCTATGGTCCTATGGAAACTCATTTTCAGAACTAGATCCCAATTGGATAGAACTTTGTCTTAGGGGAGTATTAGCAAAAATATAAAAAAACAAAACAAAGGCAATAGAAAGAGAAAAGACAGAAGAATTATACAAAAACAACGTGCTTCTTCTGGAACAGTATGAACTAACTCATAAAGTATTGGTACCTTCTAAAATTTTCTCGAGTGACATTTTGCATACGAATTGATGACTGCATTCTCCGAGAGAATGGTAATCCAGCACACAGGTTTATTCTTTGCTTTCGAATCATTATCTGTAGAGAGATACAATCACAGAACAATGTTAAGGAATCTAGCATCTCATTTATTTGTCGAGGATAAAGGATGTACATATAGTGACCCTTCCATATACCGTGTCCAAGAATTAAAATGCAGATAATTATAGGTTAACCAATGATGCAAAGAGTCCAAATAATCACGCCTATGAAATTGCTTACATAAGTAGCATCCTTTAGTGAATTATTTCATAAGCACACCAATGAAACTGCTCAAAGGGGAACAATTGCTTAATCTCTCTCCTCCACAGGACTTAAAAGGAGGAATTGCAATACACGAGCCGAACCGAAACTGATTTCATCCCTCATGCCAGACTTTGCGAGGAACAAAAGGAACAAACTAATGTGCCAGAAAAGAAACAGATCAAAGTACTTGTTGATGATCTAAGAATTAGTTATCACAAAATAGATTTGAGTTCTGGCAGCTTTTGTTACCTCCGGATTCAGTCCATTGCATAAAGGTCTAATGGCTAACTCCATTTCGTTCCCCCCTTTCCTCTGGAGATGAAACCCAAAACCCTATCGGAAACCCTAACTCTGGCCTTTGTAGATTTTCCTCTCGGTGTTCCGCCGGAACCGTTTAAAGAGTACCACGTGGCACTCTGTGATGACTAAAGGCTTTCTCGTAATTAATTACAATATAGAGGACATTTCCGTCAACTGCCTCAGCCGATGGACGCCAACGAGCGCTCCCGCCGTTCAAAAAAAATTAGGGTTCTTTTTACGGTTGAGTCGTTATCGAAATCGTCCGAGGGGAATTCCGGCGTTGGTGACATCGAATACGGTCAGCACGAGGCTTGCGCTTCAACGAAATCAATCTCTATTTCAGCAAGTAATTCTTTTTATTTCTTGAATTCTAGAAATATCTTGTTTTGATAAGAGGATTTAGATTAGTTTGATTTCTTTTTTGTCCGAAAACACTAGTCTTTAGTAGCACTAAGTTTCCTGTTTCCTTAGCTTGTATGTAAAAGAGAAATCTTGGTCTCGTGATAATGGTTTGTTCTGTCATCGATCTTCCAAATTAATGTCACCAGATTTTTGTTAGAATATCTCACTTGTTTCCATTCTCTCTTCCATTTTGTTATTGTGAAGAAGCCAATTGGTTGGTTTCACTTCTTGATGGAGTCTGATCTGGTTCAGCATGGAGAACTGTCGATTCAATTTGTATTGGAATAAGCTGTGCATGGATGTTGGCAAAGTGATGGAGATGAAATCATATAATTGATGTATGCAGCGAGTGCACGAATATTTACTCTCCTTCCTGATTTGCTCCTAGTAATTTCTCTGTACTGACCATCAGAGCTAAGGTCAGTTTGGTGGTTGCTCCATGAACTTGGTACACTAATAATTGCACTGTGGTCGACCTCAAAATGAGACATTCGGCTTCTTTATGGACCAACAGAAGAACAACCTACCAAAAAATGTGGGGCTTTCACATTTCAGTGATCTAACTTTTAGGTGTGCACTGCTGCCATAGTGGCCCTTGTTTCAAGCCCTTCTAGTTTTCATTAGCAAAGGTGTAGAGAAGAAACTATTAAATTAAAAAGATTGTGATCATATTTCGTAATAGTGATTACTATACAGTTTCTTATCGTGATATGTATATATAGTGTATTTTTTACAATCTTGTTACTTGGAAAAGGGCTCAAGCATTTGCTATTGTTATACCATCAATACCAACATGAAGCTTTATACCTTTTCAAGGTCACCTCCTTGGATCCTTTTACTCCATTATAGAATTCTTTTCCTTCATCTGGTTTAGAAATTTGACCTTAAATCTATACCAATTACCATTACCTTTATAAATGTTCATAAAGTTTGATCTGTTACATTTTACATTGAACTTTTCATATTTTTCATTGCTGAAATTGTCATAACGTGTGAATAAAACTAGGAAAACATGAGGTGAAAAGTCAGTTTATGACGACTTAGACCACTAAGAGCTTGAAGCAGCTTTTACTCCTGGAAATGAATTTGTATCCAGTGCTGTGTAGATGTTAAAAATTTAGATCATGAAACCACCAGCTCAAACTCTCCTTAGTCATGCACAAGGATTCATGTGCATACCATTTTCCAAAATGCTTTGTTTGTATTTTTCTTCTAAGTAGCTAGTACCCTGCTCTTACCGATCTCAATGATGTATCAAAGCAAAATTTATCTTGAGTTTGGAAACCACTTTTTATGATGTCGCTTTCTGAAAGAATGATGGATAATAGCTAGTTCTTGATGTTTGTACAGGTTTTCTTGTTCATGAAATATGTTCTTGTCCTGCATGTCTTTGCAGAGGCCTCACATGCTCTCACACCCACCAATGGAAGACATTGATTCCATAGCCAATGAGAGAAGTAAAATCTGTGGAAGTCAGTTCACAGATATATTACATGCAGGGCATAAGCAAGAAGGGCTAATGTTTTCCTAAAATCTTACAGTTTCAATGTATTCCCTATGCTTTGATATGTTCTACCATCAAGTGGCGGATCTTGGATTAGAGTAATTGTTTTCACAAAGCTTTCAAACACTAGATTTTATCTTTAGGGAATGCTACATCTGGACTATCTTTATAGTTTCTTTCTTCTAAGTTCAACTCTTTTTTGTCTTCTCCAGGTGTAACTATGGTCAACAACCTCAGAGGACAGAGGTCACATCTCTCCTACAAATTTAAGATGTAAGTGTTTGTGTTACTTTGATTAGAACAATTTAAAATACCAGCTAACTAGAAAAAGATGATTTATTGCATAACATTATAATTTGGATGTAACCTTACCATGATATCAAGGTATCCATTCACTAAAAAAATAAAACAAAGACAATTGAAGATATCCAAATATTTTAGTTCTACCTTAAGTTATCTCTAGATTGCAAGATATTTAACAAATATAATTATTAGAGTTGATACTTGAGTGCTTCATATTCTTTATTTTAGTAGGTTAGGAATGGGTAAGGAAATGATTGTTTTGGTGTATGGTCTTTTTTAGTTCTTAAATTGCTTTGATGGTGGCGGGGCTCAAATGGTGTATCCTTATCACGAATAATTGCAATGTGGTGGGGTCTCACATGAGACCTTCGGCTTCTTGATGGACCACCAAAAGTCCAGCCGACCAATTAAATGTGGGGTTTTCAAAGCTCCAGTGGTTGAACTTTTGGGGATGCAATGTTGCCTAGTGGCCATTCGTTCCCCCTCAAGCTCTTTGGATTTTCTTGAACAATGGAATGGACGGAGGAGTTGACATCAAACTAAATGGATTTCATTTGATGTAACTAGAGACATTATCTCATACAAATATCAAAGAATCATATGACTGATCCCAAATAATTGAGACACAAAATTCATCGAACATTTTCCTTTTCTTCATTTTCTTGAAATAGGTGCAATTTATGTTTTTATTGTCTGTAGACTAAATGTCATAAACAGTTCTAATGTTCCTTTTTTGTCACCACCTTCCGTCTTAGAATTTATTTCTTTTCATGCTGTTTGTCAACAAGGTTTCAACTTCTTTCTCTAATATGGATTAGGTGGTGACAGTGGTGTACTCTCTATTTCTAAAAGTTTCAGAAGTTGAAAGTTTCTACTTCTATTTCTTGTACAGTACTTTTCAAACAAAGACAAGGTTGCCAAACATGACTAATTGCTAGTGTTTATAAGTTTTCACTTTAAAATTCAAAGTAATTACCAACCACAGTAATGTCAAATACCACCTCTTTTTGCTTCTCCATGCCATAGCAAATGTGTTGTTGTGGAATTGTGTCATGTATCTAAAAATCCACTCTACATCAATTCATGTAAATTATCTATGATCAATTATGTTTTATTTTTTTTTGACTCAATGTGGTTGTGGGCTCCATTTTTAGGACCAGTGGGTGATTCCACCCTGCACAATAAATAGCCACTGTGAAGGTAACACATCCCTTTCATGATGACCCTTGGAAAGCTTGTGAACACTGATTTTTCTCTGCCTAATAAGCTCACAAACAGTATATTTATTTTATGAGACTCCTATGATATCTCATTAGCCCCACCACCTTCTATCTTATCCACCTTGTCCCCCCTTCTGTTGCTATACTGCCCATAGTATACTAATTTGGTCCTCCACTTACCCAAGTTTCCCTCTTCCCCACATCTACCTTTATTCATCACACCAACAACTATCTCATCAGAAAATTAAAAAGTTAGTACACAATAAGTCACTTCCTTTATTAAGGGAGAGTTCTGAACAGCAACTGTGAAATGGAGTTCTAAATTTAAGACTTTCCTCCAACAAATTCTGACAGATCCCAGTTTTTCTGACTCACATAATTTTCTTCCTTACCAACTGTGCCATATTCCATCCTCATAGTTTATTACCCACCAGGCAATTAGCACCAAATGGTATTATTTTATTTGGATTAATAAAAAAAGCCAGCTTAATCTTAAGTGTCCTCTCAATGATTCCTAATCATGTGAATGCTGATACATTTTCTTTTGGATAATGCAGTTTGAAGGCCTAATGTTGCTTTCTTCAGAGTTGGAGAAAGAAAGAGAACATGACTGACAGTTGACTTGAATATGAGTTGTCTCCAAATGACGCGACTCAGATAAGATTTCAAACCTGCCATATATTGTCTTCAGATTGCTCTCTGGATGACCTTGGAAACTGAGCATGGGTGTGACAATCAAGTCAGGTAAGTTTTTATGTGGAGGTAGGATTGGATCATTTGGATGCATGTTAATTAATGATGGCTTACTATTAGCTGACATATTTTGCCAATCATGTTCTCCATCCATCACATAAACTATGCTAATCCTCTAACAATACCCTTCTTCAACAAAAAGGCAGACAAAGAGGAGAATGACAACCTTGGAATTGACTGAACCACACCCAGTGTACCACCCACCCACTCCTCCAATGAGAGAGGAGAGAGGAGAGAGGATAAGAGCTTTCGGTGATTCCGAATTCAGTCTCACAGATTGATGTCATTATGGCAGCATCTTCCACTTCCCATCCCAGTGAAGGCTAAGTCCTGCTGTTACTACATAATAACTTTCTTCTCCTTGTAAATTTACATAGCTACCGTTAGACATGCATTAAAGGCCACACACCAAACCATATTCTTTCCTAACAATTTATAATTTAAATAACAGGAAAAAGAAATTAAGAGGATAATGTTTCCCAACAATCCTATGTTATTCTCTGTAAAGAAAAATATTAAAATTCAATAAAAAGAAAATATTAGTCTTAATTGGTTTTTGTTGGAGTGCTTTTCCCATTAGATTTTACATATATGATGTTTCTGTTAAAAAATAAGAAATTGGGATTAATAAATTATTAAATATAAAAGATTTGATTTTTTTTTATATGTGATATTAGCACCTCTCTTTGTCTTTCAAAACATGGGTTGTTTGAAGTAGATTCCTAACAAATACTAAAATAAACAATATTATAGTTTTTTTACTGCTAGATTTAAATCTTAATTTGGAGACAAAAAGATACAATTGTAGAGCTATTTCTCACCAAAATAATAATGTTCAAATTTTTAATATCTTAATTTAAAATATTTCAATGAATCATTATGTCTTGGAAAATCTTGCTAGCAAAAAAGTTCTTTTTAGGTAAGTAAGGGTAATACGGTCACATCAGATCAGTGAGCGGAGGGGTAATTTAGGTATTTTGGTTTTTTTTTTGTTTTTCCTATTGTTCCCTTTATTAAAAAGATCATCTTTTTATCTCGTATTTTGTTTGCTTTCTCCTCTGTTCTTGAAACAGAGCAAGCATTGTAGAAGAACCAGAAGGAGAGATGGTAGGGCATTTCATGGTCTGCGTCGACGGGATCATCGCCTCGGCGGCGTGCTTCGAGCCCGTGAATCCCGGCGGTTCTCCTCAGGCGGACGGCGGGGCGGTGGAGGAGGGGTGCTCGGTAAGCAGGACGGCCATCGCCGGTCACAAGAAGAAGGGAGGTGAGATGATCGAGTGCAGAATATGCCAGGAGGAAGGGGACGAGTGCGACATGGAAACCCCTTGCGCTTGTAATGGAACCCTCAAGGTCTTCCCCTTCTCCCCCTCTCTCTTCCCTCCTACCATTCCTAAGGGACATTTGCTTCTCTCGTTCTCGCAAATCTTATTTCCCCCTAAACATTGTTTTCTGAAACCATTTAATTAAAAATTCTTTAAGTTTTCTTCTGAGCTAACGATGAAGTAATATTTCTGTTCAAAAGAGTTTCCTTTCTTTCCTCTCCTCTTTTTGAGTTTTTATTTTTTGTTTTTGTTTGTAGTAATCTTTTTCCTCTGCACATGCAAAGGATGCTTGGCTTTTTTGTTGTAACTGTAAAATCTCAAAACTTGTTTGGAATGTTACATCTCCTTATGCTTCATGTCCTACTCGCATATGATATTTTTATGAAAGTTTTGACATCCGTTTTAGTGCTGATATTGATTGCAATGTATGAGATCTTTATCTTTTTCCTAATTTTGTAGTTATCATTTAAAACGAAATCTGTAGATGTCTGACGCTTTTAATTGAGGTAAAGGGCGACATAAGGTTTCCATTTAATTTTTTTTTCCAAAATGTTTACGGAGGTAATAACTTTGGTTCTTGTGAAACTTATTTGTATTTGTATTTTTTTATACATGTAGAGGGTGTGTACCATTTTTTGTATGGAGGGGTAAATCTGAAATACATGATTTTTATTTTCTTCTTCCCTTTTAATGCTTTTAGAGGTTGTATCTACGCATGCATCATACTGTGCTTGCACTAAATAGCTTTATGTATATCGGCGTTCGACATCTCTTTGGACAAGCAGAGGTTTTGGGCGATTGCAACCCATGGCACTGCTATCAATGTTATCGTTTTTCATATGTATTGAATATGCTTGTCTTTGGAATTCAGTTTTATGTTGGTGTTCATATATTTTAGACAACAGACAGCTGTAAGGTCCCCAAGGCTGCACATATCTTTTCCCACCAGAACTCTGTTGAGGGAAACACCACTAGCCCAGTCGAACAGGGTTCTGGAGGATGATTGACTAAATGTTGCAGAACCCTATAGCATTACCTGAGGAAAAAAAAATTACAAAATGGTTGTTGAAAGTAAATTTACTAGGACTGGAACATTTTGTTGAAAGCAAAATCGTTGTTCAATCTTGTGAGCTTCTGGGAAGTAGGATTTGTAAATATTCTTTTGTTTCACATCATGGTCAAGTATGATTACAATGACAATTGTTGGTTGACTTGTTATTTGGTTTTCTCTTGCAGTTTGCCCACAGGAAATGTATTCAGAAATGGTGCAATAAGAAAGGGAATATCACTTGTGAAATCTGCAACCAGGTTGGGCTTCAAGATGCTGATCTCCATCCTCCTCCTCTTCTCTCTCTCTCTCTCTCTCTCTCTCTCTCTCTCCCCTTTTTCAGAGAAAAAAAAAGAGAACTTAGATGTAGCTAAGTTTCCTACAGTTGGCTATTTCCAACAGACTTGTGCAAGTTCAGGCTATGCTGATTATCTTCACAGCAAGGCCAACCTGGACCTGCTTCCCTCTTTCAATTTCAATCTAACAAATCACACTTTTGGGTTGCTGCAAACACCTCTCTGCAACTCTATCCTGTGTCAAACATTTTCTTTTCACTGCAAACCACAGAATGGAGGAACCATCATTTGCCATTCCTACTTTGAGATTTCATTGAATACCCAAAATGGTATTCTTTCAAGAAAGGTATATGCTTTAGCTAGGCTGATGACAGAGTCAGACCACATATAACTATTTCTGTATACGAGCCACCCAAATAACAATAAGGCAAATGACTGTAACTGTAAACATGCATACTTTAGGATAGTGATTCATATGTGATTAGTACCTGATGATCATGATGACGTCCTCTTTTGGTTAAACACATATTTATGAGTGGTCATAAAGGTTCATCTTGTTTAGAAGGCACAAAGTAGTGGTATTTGTCTTGTTAGGTGGTTGCCTTGATAAGTGGTACTTGTCTTGCTTACTTTATATTATCATATTATTTGTCTCTTTTTTGGCTGTTAAAGCATTTACTGGAATGCTTTGCTGTTACAGGTTTTTGCCCCAAATTATTCTGTTCCCCCAAGCAGACCCAGTCCTGATGTAATTGCTATTGACATCAGGTACTTCTTGACAATGATCTCATTTTTTTTTATTTTTTTGTCAGAGTATTACGCCATGCAAAATCAGATTAATTTTTTGAAGTCACAGAATCAGTGTGAACAAATGTGTGGTTAGGTGGCTTCAGCACCTACTATGAATTATTTTGTCTATAGAAAATAACTGATATTATGTTGGAACAGATAACTTGTAGTTTTTGCCCACAAAAAGGATTTACAAAGTTTTCTTGCCAAGACTTCTATATGCAGTTAACCAGGCAGAAGCGTATACAAGAGGTTTCATGACAAGATTTGTCACAAACTAAAAGCAAGAGCATTTTCCTGAATAAGAAGATCTGGCCATTAAACCTTCTATATGGTGTTGATTGTCACTGATATTTTACTTTCTCATGGAGCAACATGATCCCAATGATTAGTGACAATTTACATCAAAGTTTCTACCTAGTTTTGGCAGCTCCACTTTGTAGTTTTATATAAATTTTAGTTGAATAAATTTTAGTTGAATTATATTCTGTTGTAGGTAAATGAATTTTTACTTGCAACATGCTGTGTTGGGCTACCATGGTCTTTGCCTGTTAGACTATTTCAATTCTGACAGAAGTGTGTTGTCTATTGGTGACAGTGCCTCCACTTCTTTTGTACTGTTCTTTTTAATTTTTATTGTTGGATTTAGCATGAAGATGTCTGGTGAATATTGTAAAAACTTAAGGGCATCATGACCACATCTAGGACAAGAGAGAAGATTCTTAAGTTCCTAAACAAGTTGTTAGACATTATAATCGGATTTGGGTGGCTGCAGTTTTGTCAATAAAATACATTATACCTCCATCTTACATAAATCCAAGCACCATATTATGTGATCAGAAAGCCCACTGCTTGAGTTGAAGAATTACAGCCTTATTATTTGAATGCACTTGTTTGGCAATCAACTTTACATGATAATGAGATATTATTTCCTTTCCATGATTCTTCAATCATGAGCCTAATCCTTTACTTGTTTTTTGTCAGGCAAAGTTGGGGTTCACGGTTTGATCTTCGTGATTCCCATTTTCTCGCCATAACTGCTGCAGAGCAGGAGTTACTAAATGCAGAATATGAGGATTATGCAGCTGCAAGTGCCAGTGGAATTGCCTGTTGCCGCACTGTTGCTTTAATTGTATGCTTTATTGTTGGATTACAAAAAGTATATTTTACTTGTAGCTACGAAGCATGGAAGTTAAAATGGTTTGTGGTCTTTTACAGTTGATGCTTTTGTTGCTTGTTCGACAAATTTTTAATTCATCGAGGGAAGTTGGACTGATGCAGGACATATCGGCATTGTTCAATGTAAGAACTTTTTCTATCTTTTGAAATATCAATGTTATGTTTTAGAACTTACTGCCAAAGTGTCTCTTAACATGAAGAATCACATTGCTCACTTCCTTTTTTCCCCCCAACTAGAATAATTTCTAGTAGGATGAAATCCTACATAGACAACAGTCTAAGTCCGTCCTGTACATATTCCTTATGGAAACTGAAAAAATAATTTATATATTTTATTTCCTCAAAGTAGAGTTGCAGTGAAGTTGCGTTTCAGTGTTATTTTAGGTGTTTGGAATGGTAGTTCTTCTGTTCATGTGCACTAGGAAATAGGTTATGGTTCTATTTTTGTTTCCTACGAGTGCCGGCTACTGAACAAGAGCAAGATGCTATAAATAATAAGTCAGAAGATGATCATTTGAGATTGAATTCTCTGACCTTGCAAAATCTGGTGCCATTGAGGTAATGATCTGTGTTGGTGCAAGTTATGTCATGAATGCAATTCAAATGTTTATTATGGTTTCGTATCCCATTGCTGTTATATTTTTTGCTTGAGAAATCTAAAATCTATGGTCATTTACTTGCAGGTATCTCTCCAGTTCGTTGGCTTTTTCCTACCGTGCTATGTGATCGCACGTTCCTGCTACTTTATACAAAGCCGTAGGAGGCGGCAGGTATGCTTTAAATATGTTGAAGTTCTTGGAAAATTTGGTGTGTCGAGACATATGGGTCAAAGTATGTCCACTCTTATGCCATATCAAGGGTGTGGGTCAACATGTATTTAGCAATGTGATAGGTTTGCAATGTATGACATAGGATCTCACCCATACCGTACTGGCTGGCATATACCCTTTTGCACTGGAACTAGCATCGTACTAGCACATCAAAGATGACTGATGCTTTTATGTTATTATTATTTGCTAAAACACTGGATTTTCTGGATAAATGCATACCTCTCAGTATATTGATAAGCCTTATGGTGTAAATTTTAAAGCAATGGAATTTTTTCTGGAAGTATGTACACCTGAGAATACCTACGTATTCCTCAATTTAGATTTTGAATTAGTACCATCCAGGCTCCAACTTATCACATATTCATAAGTAAAGCCCCATTCATTTGACTTGTCTGATACTTAAATGACATGGATTAAGTTCTTGCTTCATTTAATGCAAGCCAGGTTATTGACCAAATTGCTGTTGTTTTGCATGGAGGAAAATTGAAACTTGGCAATGTTAATACATGAGTAGAAGAGCATTCCTGCAAATTCAAATAACGCAGATGGTACTAGTGGTGTGCAATCACTAAACTAATGACATGTTAATTGTGGAAAATTACTTTGAGGAAATGACATCTAAACAAGGTTAATCATCCAGATTTATAAAGTGGAGGTGGTGTAAAATGGTTTAGACTGCAACTCTTGTGGAATCTGGATTTATTGATAGTGTTGCTCTTATCTACTGGTTTTTCGTGAGAGTTAACGTGCCACCTTATTATTTCTTTGCAGGTCTAGGAGTTTGTGGTGAATCAACTTGTTTCATGCAACATGCATCAAAAGGAGATCTCTCATTGTTTTCGGAGCTATGAAGCTCATCTCCTTTTTTTTCTCCACCTTGATTGCCAGGTTATGAAATCATCAAAAAAATTGATGGTCTGGGAAAGAATGTGATTTGTGTTCCAATGTGAATGCATTGGTTGTGTTAAGATATCGAACAACAAATCCCTTAGGAAAATGTAAATATGAAACTCTCATGTCTTTTGGTTGTGCATTTTTGTCCTGCCACATCCCAGAAGTGGGTTTGCTCTACAATTTTCTTGAAATGCAGTATCCTCCAATATCTGTTATGCTCAATGTGAAACCTTTATGTGGCAACCTGATCCAATCTCACAATATTAGCACATTTTGTAATATTGCTGGGGGTTTAACATTTTCTAATGCAAGGTCTGTCATACCGAAGCGTACCGCTCATACCAGGCGGTATGTACCGGTCCGATAGGTTACCGGTACGTAGATCGTCCGGTACCGGTACCGTTATAGTGCTACCGTTATAGCATTGCTACAGTATAAAAAAAAGGATGTACCGTTCGATACGTCTTAATGTATCGCTCGGTATACCGGTATTGTATCGAGCCTGGGTCGAAATGTTGGTATAGCGAACTTTGCTCACATGCACTATCTTTTTTACTATTTGGATTAAATGACACTCTTCAAGTTTTCCAAAGTGATTGCCTCTTTCTTGCTTAAGATTTGAAGGAACAACTTGCTCTATGGATTAGTGTGAGATGAAATTGACGATTATACTCTAGATTGATGGCTCAAAGTCACATTCAATAATTTATTTTCATCTAACTCAATAAAAGATGAGGATTTATATTTCATCCAATAAATTTGTGAAAATATCAGCTTGTTGATATTTTCACAAATTTATTGGATGAAATTTAAATCCTCTTTGCCACTAACCTAATAAAGAGTCCAATGAATTTGTGAAAATATCAGTTAAGTTAAAGAACTTGACTAAAGATGAGGGTTCAAATAAATTTAGATCTTGACAACATGGAGGAAGGTTTTGCGATTGAAGTCCATCTTTGTCACTACCTATAGAAAGAAAAACTTGCTCTCTAAATCCATATTATCTAAATTAAGAGTCGTTTTCTCCATAACCTAATACATAATTTATTTGCTAAATACACAAATGCTCAGGTTTAAATGAGAGTGACGGCTTTATTTATAGGTCATGAAAGCCATGACTTTGGCCCTACTGATTGATAGTAATTCCCATGTAATTCTTTCCCTGCTTCTCCAGTTAGGCTTCCACCGCTGAAAGATTTTGGATCAACGAGTGTAGAATGCACATCAAGCACGGGCAAGAGTACACAAAAAAATCTTGTAATATTATTTCCTCTCTGTGTTACCTACCATGGCCATCTTAACACATGCATCCATTATTCTAAAATTTAGAACTAAATTTATTAACAAACTATGGCTTAAGCCAGCAAGATTATCCAACAAAAAAAAAAAATTATCACAATTTGGTTTAGCAGTCCAATCAAAATAGATTAAATTAAAAAGAGCATCCTGCTACGGTGCTGCTTTGAGTCATTCTAGAATTAGAATTGCAACCAAGAAGCATAAGTTGCTGAACCTCAGTATACAAATGATAACTCATAGGATGCGTACGATACTCATGAATACTGAATAAAAAGCATTGCAGATTTGGAAGATGTTGATTGCTACAAAAACAAAACAAAAAAAATTACTGATGTAGTTACCAGTGTCATTCTTACTTTTATAGTGGAAATATGCAATAAATCTTATGTAATTATTGAAACTCAAAGAGCTGGTGAGTGAAGCATGTAAACCCGTCGTATGTCCTTTGTCGATGCCAAAACTATGATGTATGGAACCTTCAGCTTACAGATACGCCAGGCTTCACTTTTTCTTTTAAAAATTGCTGAATGTGTTCACGTTTCCAGTTGTCGATTCTGTTAATGCACAGAAGAAATAAACATAAGTAATACATGCATCGCATAAAAAGCAAAGCAGACTTTGTTTCTGCATAAAATTGACAGATTAATATTTATCACCGCTATGTACAGATGATAATTTAGAGATCCTCAAATGGCTATATATACACCTACAAGAAAATACTCAGTGTAGGGCATATGCCAACATCATAGAGTCAGTTTAAAGTCTGCCAAAGATTAGCTGAATTGCTTAGGAAACTCCAAGCATCATACCTTTCATCTAGCCAAAAAAATCAGCAATAACCTGGAGTTCTGGATGTACTCATGAAACCACTAAAGTGGATTTGGATATAAGGATTTAGGTTCCAATAGTTTTGGGCGTAATGGAAAACTGTAAGGCTCCCAATAAGGCAAGTAAAAATTTGAAACAAGAACCAAATTGCACTTTCGGATTGATTGCCAGTTAGTCAATGATGATACATTTCCTGTCAGATAAATGGGAACTGTCTATATTAAAAGGAATAAGAAGCAGAAAAACAATTTACACCAATTATAATAGCTTACTTGACAGTAGGGGAGAACACACAACTGCAAAAATATTAGTAGAAAGCATATTCAGTAACTCTTGTCTGCCCTTCTAGTCTAGCCTTTCCTGGTGCCATTAATGATTATGATCACAGTCACACTTAGAAACCACAAATTAAATTCTCTTCCTCTTTTGTAGTACAACAACAAGAATGACTGCGTTCATACCATCATAATAGACACAAGGTCCCTCCAACTTAAATCAAGACTAGTCATCTTTGAGATGATCCCTCTTCAGAAGGCTAAATTACAACACTTAAGTACATATAGTCTTCAGATTGGTGAAGTTCGACAAGGTAAAATTAAGTGGAATGTGGAATATAGAGTGCAAAATCTAAGGCAGGAAAGTAAAAAAAACCATGGGTCAGATCTGCGCTATAGGTACCAGCCAGAGTTTACTGTGTCAAGGCTGACGAGGCATGGGACACACATGTCATGCCAACATATAGCTCAGCACAGAGTCAGTGATGGTGCATGGTAGGGCACATGCACAACATCAGTGCCGGTACATAGTACATTCCAATGGTTGGGCATCATGGAGAGAGCAACTGACACTTTAATTATTGCAAGAAAGCATATGAAAGAAATGATGGAAATTGTACAAATGCAAGAGCAAACTATGGCTTTGAATCCTCTCATGTTCATTAGTAAAAAAATCTCAGAATAACTTAAAATGGTGAAATTACCATATGCCAATATTATATAATGTAGTAAAATCTCAATATTATTATGCAACAGATGATCTCTCAAAAAGAGTTCAAGGGGCACAAAAAAAATTAAAGAAGCATTCTTAGAACTGACCTTATGGTTTCCTTTTCATTACCCTCACTGTCCAGCATGATAAGTTTCGGTGGGGATGCATAAGCATATTTGAATTTGACATATGAGAATTCATCTTTCTCTTCTTCTATAAATGCTGCAACTTCAGGATAGAACATCAACTTCCTCATGCATACCTCTAAAATTGCACCCGAGAACGTAACCTGCAGTTGTTTCGAAGTTAGCCACACTTCAATTAATTGAAGGAGAATTTGCAATTTTTCCACCGATCCATCATGTTTTGCTGATTTTAGGAGAAAAAAGATGCATGACTACTATTAGATTTGCAAATTCTAATTTTATTCACAAATTAGACTTTATTTTCTACAATAATCTCGTGCCTATATCACAATTTTTTATTCACAAATTCCCAATCAAGACTGTTCAGTCTTGATAAAATGCTACATAGCACAGAGAAGAATGATTCTGAACTTTCTAGATTTGCTTTAAAGCTCTTATTTAAACATCAAATGGGGTGAAATTCATTGTGTAATAGTGGCATATTAAACTTATTAGATAAGTATAAGTATTAAAGCCTTGTGAAAAAGCTCTAAAAGAAACAATTCACTACTTTAGACAATAGTGAATGGCATTAAGAGGAAAACAATAGTTGTTCAAAGTTCCCTTCATATAGCAGACAACAATTTGCCCAATCTCAGGGTACATCTACAGTTCTACTAACTGGGTTTAACCCCTCTTCCTCCTCTAGAAGAGGTTCCATGTTCAAATCTTGCTATGATGTCAACTTTTCTATTCTTCTTAAAAAGGCTTCTCAGGTTACACCAAGATGATTCTATATGTACCACCAAACAAACAAAAAACTTCTATTTTCTCAAAAAACATAATTCAAGATTCGCAATAATTCAACTCATTCAAGGAATTTATTACAGAGAGCATAGTCAGTATCAGATTACCAGACTTGTTACAGCATAGTAATATCATCAAACAAGTCCTTGCCTGTGAGACAGTATGAATTACATGGAGGCATATCTAGTAAGGAGAACATCAGGTAACATCCTGCCAAGTGACCTATGATGCCATTGCATCTAAATTGTCATGATATATATGGAATATATTTTAATCATTCAATATTAAGCATCTAGAGACCACTCCGTTGTAGCTACAAGCTTCCTCATCAATTTGATACCACTTTATACTATGCAACCTAACATGAAGCTTAGCTCACTAGGTTAGAGCGAAAAGATTGGTTCCATTGAATGTGAATCATCTGAGGAACATTAAACGATCAAAAGGGAAAATAGGCAAGAAATGCAAACAAAAAATAAAGTGCATATTCAATTAATGGCTCAAGCCTCACATTTGTCAGGTTTGAGGAGCAAGATGATTAATCTGTACCATGTACCTTACTTAAGGAATCGTCGGAATCCTCTGAGCAACATTTACGACAATCTGATACCAATTCTGCAGTCAAAATTTAATGAAACACTTAGCAAATCATCTTTCTAAAGCATCTGACTTCATAGGATTTGTTTTACTGATATTTTAATGCATATCAGTCATCGTGTATTACATGTCACTAGCTACAATTTTGTGAATTGAGATAGTACCAACCAAGGATTGAAATATCGTACCGTGCCCGAGTTTCGACGTTCGCTTGGTATGGTACGATACTGTATACCGAGCGATATACCGCTCGGTGTATATATAAATATAAATAAATAAATAAATAAATAAATATATATATATATATATATATATATATATATATATTCCATTCCGTCAGGTAATGAGCGGTTCATGTACCGATTAGCTGATGGACTGGTACATACCGTCCATACCGAACCGTATTATTCGAAATTATATACCTTGTGCATGTTTGGTATGTGTTTTAATTTACTAAAAGAGGAGGGTTGAGTTAGACAACTCATAATCAACAAAATACTTTCTTAGATTTTATGACCATGGATCACTAAATCCAACCGTCCCACGTCCTCAGCCAAAAAATAAACAATGTAATAATCACCAAAAGGCAAACCAATTCTAACTGTCAAAACAATCTAATCTACAGGTGATACATGTAAAAAAGAAAGAAATCAGAATGATAGAAAACATGCACTTCAAGATCGCAGCAGAACCTAGGGTTTGTTCTGATCTATGTTTTCGACATCAAGAACCGACTAAAAGGAAGAAGGGGATCGAAAGATGCACGCGAATCCGCAGCGCGGGTACGAATCGGGGGCGAGAGAGAGAGAGAGAGAGAGAGAGAGAAGAGGTAAGGGCCTAATCGAGACGAGGAGGATGTACCTTTATCCTTGACGTACTCGCCGAGGGTGTTACAATCGGAGCAGAGGGCGAGGCCCGTGAACCCCAAGTCCTCGCACTCCTTGGCCCCGAGGCGCTCTCCAAGTCCAAGGATGGCGCCGGCGAGCGAAAGGACGAGGAGACAACGCAGGGCTGCGGAGTGCGGAATCATCTGTCGCCCGCTCGGCTCGCTCCTGAGCATCTTTACCCGGCGTCTCAGATGACGGTTATGACGGGTATAAAAGACAACCTGAAACCGTCATAATCCGATATATTATATATAACGTATCGTCATATGCTTTCATAACATATTATCAACGTTTATAACGTACGTTGTATTAAAAAGTCGAACTTAAGTCATATAACGTACCGTCATTTGCTTTCATAACAGACTACAGTGATGGGAAGAGGAAGCAAGGAACAGAGACGAGCGAAGGAGTTAAGAAGAAGCAGGATGGGAAACGTTCGACCCCCTCGGTTGGAGGAATAAAAGAAGCTACAAGTTCTGGTTAGTGTTCTGAAGCTGATGATTAAGATCAGTGCAAAGGTAACCCTATTTTTGTAGGAATGATTGATGAACTTTGCAGTGAAACTGATGAACAAAAATCACAGGTAATCTTGTTGATTTCCTAGTGAAAAGGAATAGTTTACCGAAGAGATGTCAGTGCATGCAGTTTCAATAGGATCTCTTCAAACTTGAACAAATTGAAACTGAGTCAAAAGAACTACACAGAACTAATTATCTAGTTTGCAGAGCAAAGCATTTGTCTTGAGTAGTTGAGCTGTGTGGCTGAATGCTTGAGAAGAATTTAGACATCAAATGCTATGCTTCAGAATTCTATGAGTTTGCTGTGGTTGACTACCACCTGCATCAGCACAAGTACCACCTGGCACTAAATTTGACCACAAGAAGACTTTTTTATATGTACCACATACTGTTCAAGTTCCACAAAAACTTGTCATCATATGGAAAGCAAGATTTACTTCATATAAAAAATGAAGTACATGGGCAAAAATTAGATCAACAATATTAAGTCCTATAGTAAATTGCTCATCCCTCAACACAAAATCAATGAAGGAAAGAAATAGTACATTGCTATTAGATCAAACTTGGAAGACTCAGAAAGGACTTATATTCAATGTTGTATATTGTCAGTGACAAAAGATGCCATAGCCTACAGTGTCATCCTATCAACACTTGTTGAAATTTATCGGACTGTTTTGTGATGTTGATGGAAAAAAGACCTTTGCTTTCTGCAATAACAAAACATAGAGAGATCCTTTGGGATATGGTGTAGTACCATCCTGAACAGTCTAACAGAACAACAGCTCAATACAAGTACAAAGGTTCATTCAGCAAGATATGAGAATAGAGTCGAAATATCAGACCCATTTTTCTGTTCTCTCATGTCATCTTCCTTGTTTCTAATATCTCTAATCTTGAATTTGGCATGCTACAAATATAAAACTCCCATCTATCGAAGAAAACTGAGAAAAACAGCTTCACCTTTCCCCTTCTGCCAAGATGCTGACCAAATTTCATCAAGGCGACCAAGTCTTGTACACGGCATACATCAACAGCACTGGAATCATGAAGCAATAAATAGGGGAATTAAGAAACGGGTTCATGTCATACGCCCTGACCAAAGCTCTGCAATTCTGCAATTAAATTAAAAGGAATAGTGAGTGGAATTCGTTCACATAGTCAACTGATTACTATATTTTAGCTATAGGACCGTTGTAAGTACAAGAAATTCAAGTTCCACAAAAAATAAAAGGTCCTACACCTTGTCTCTGTGTTGGAGGCAGAGGTCAAAACACAATTATATTATTAGTTTCATATAAACACTTTTTTTCTTTACGAAATCCTAGTTCAACAATTTGCAGCCAGATGGGCCTGGACCAACAAACCGCACTTAGAGAACAAGTTAGTCTTCAAGAATTGGAACAAATAAAGAATAAGACAACTTTACCTTCCAGTGCTTCCACAAAATGACTGCAGTAACAAGAAAAAGAAACTTTCTAATCCAGCGTCGACGCCATATGCAATTTGAATCACAAGAACTGGCATTTTTTGTCTGCCCATAGTTATGTTCCAAAGAATCATCCTCCTTTTTCCCTGAGAGCAAGAGATGGTACTTTCGATATGTTGTTCGTTCTGCAGCCATTGCTCCAATAACTAAAATAGTTGGTAAAACAACAAAGCAAAGATGAGGTAATACCACGACCATGACATCAGGTACCCCTAGATACTGGAGCATAGTGTTTTTGTTAAAATTTGGGACAAACCAACCTTGATAAGTCATATAAGCCACAATGCCTCTTTCAGTGAAAACATGTCCAAAGAACCAAGGGAAGAATAACAAGTAAAGCAAATACATAAGGATACCAAACCATACTACAGTCATCCTAGGGAGTTCCATCAAAGCCAAAAATGCGCCATCAACTAAATGTTCCCTCAGACTCCTTCCAGCAAAATTAGGTCTGACATACTCATATGAGTAATTCTTCTTCCAGCACAGAAGTAAAACTTGTGGAACAAGAAGTAATGAGGTCAGAAACAAGAGGGCAGACCAAAAAGCAGGCCAGTAAATGGAGGCCCACTGGCAACCCATTACGAAAAACTCTCTCCATGTCCAACTAACTTGTGCAGTGAGGCCATTAATAGAGAATGGCCTTGAGTCACTGTAACTAGTTTTGCCAAAAATGTCTATTGCTTCTATTTGCAGCCGATAGCGGCTAGGAGATGGGTCTTCAAATGCTCTCCAGTTCCATGGAGCAACATACAGGTCTCCTCTAGATCCATTCCCTTCAATCTTTCTCATGGAAGAATCTAGTACCACAGTAGGAGTTTCAGGCCGTGTATCATATACCTTTACTGAAACTAACACAATCTCAGTTCTTGAAAATATCAGGGTTCTTATCAGCTCGTAAGATGAGCCTCTCTTCGGCTGACATTTGAAATCATGGACAGATGAAATTCTTTGCATGAACCTTGAGTCCAAAGGAAAAGTAGGTAATATAATAGTCTCCTTGGACCCTAATCTGAAATCTAAATCAACATATGATACATGACCAGAATCAATAGCCAATATTCTCATAGCTCTACTCCATCTCCAGTCGCCCATCTCCCATTCCCAAAATTCTTTGCTGGAATTAGTACTTGAACAACTCTGTTCATCCATGTTAGTTGGAAATCCTTGATGAATGTTGAACTGATAATACTTTGTTGGATGATTTGATTGATGATGTCGTTTTAAGTTCTTGCCAAACTTCGTATGAAGATGCCCACAGAGATAAGCCGACAAGGAGTGCTTAAGGAACACATCTTTAAGACCTTGTCCATCATCTGTTAATGCTGAAAAAGACAAAGGGAAGTGCCCAAAGGCAATTTTTGTTATCGTTGATTCAGCATCCCATTGTGAAAGCTCCAAGTCTATGTTTGCAAGTAATTGGTTTGTTGGATGCCCAAACAAGTTTGTTGGGCCACGAAGACCAGTTTCCATTGTACCATCAAAGCCAACAAAAAGATGCTTCCATCCACCATTCTGCATATGAATTGAAATTTCTTTATTTAGAGTTTAGGGGGAAACATCCATATAAATATGTAGGTAAGATGTTATCAAATTTTATGCTGTCTGAATGGATAAAGGTACAAAACCAACATGTTTAAATATCTAGATGATTGATATCTTGCAAATATATGGATATTCACTATGTTCCATGTTTTCAATAGACTAATTAGTTAAATTTGTGAGAATAATATCTCCTATGTTGTGCAGATGGGAGACAACAGAGCTAAGCCATGAACGGAACATGAGGAATCTCAAGAAACCAGTGGATTCATCAATCTGCATATGCTCATGACAAAAGTAAACAGGAAAAGAGTGACTCAAAGGTGATGATGAATGCTGATAATGATGATTAGTCAACAAACCTGCAATGTGATGCTTTGGACGTTGCCATCACGTCTTAATCTTGCATTTATACTGTACTTTTGATAGTAGTCATAAGCACCACCAGCCTTTGGTACCCCAAAGCAATCATGATTCCCTCTGAGGTCATAAAAGATTTCCTTGTTAAGTCCACTTCTTTGAATGACATTGTCAAGAACATTCTGGTACTCTATCCATTCTACCTCATCTTGTTTCATGGTTAATAAATCTTTGCTTTTTCCATCTGGGATATACATAGATACAAATATGCTCTAGTTAGATATAGCAACTATATTTTAAATGTTAAAATCCTAATTTGTTTACTTAAAAAAATGCAGGAGTTCCTACTCACTCTTTCTTATATTTTCAATTTGTTTTAGGTTTCTAACATGACACTGAAATCAAGTCACAATAATACAACAAGAAAATAGAACAGAATATGGGTACCAAAACATCAACTCTCATATCATTTACTTAAAATTTCAAATCACCATGCTAAAGAAAATGTTTTTGCATGCAGATGAATTGACATTCTAAAACCTTCAAGAGATGTCAGGTTAACATCAACAAAACCCCAAAATCGAACTGAACCAAACTATTCAATACAGTTCGACACATGTTTTTCAGAAATTGGGTTTCTTTCCATCTTGAATATAAAGGAACTGAGTTATTAATTCTCTACTGCTGGATCTATAAAATCCAGCTTGTCCTTATTAAATCCTTGCCTCCCATCCTACATCTCCCCAAGCACCATGAGCTTTCTCTCATTGTGTTCCCTCTCCCCACTCTTTCCCCTTTCTTTCCCATCGACAATCTTGCCAATCTCCAGAAATCCTTTGTCCTGTGTTGAGGTTTCAACCAACCATCTTCTCTTCATCTTCTTCAGAAGAAGATGGGCACATGTAAATTAATCAGTGAAGAACTTATTGGTAATTTTGATACATGAGGGATATATTATGGCTTTGTAGCAGATATATTATGTCTTCTTCTTGTTAATTTTCTTTTCTTTCTTCAATTTTCCCACTCACTCATTTCTGCACTTCATGATATCCGATACCAAGGATGACAGGTTTTGACAATGCCATCTTGGGCTAACTGGTGCATACATGTGCAATATGTGCCCTTGTGGAGTATCAGCAATGCCCCACTGGACCAGGTGAAAGAACTTCTGTTTTCTTTATTATTCCTAGAAGTTTCTTCCAATAAATTAATCTCAAAAGAAAGTTCCACCCATTAAGCAATTTAACTGACTGACTGAAAATGGTCCAACAAAGTAATGCAAATGAGCCTCGATTGTCAACATATACCGATCAACAGACTGAGCTCAGTTTTACTGGAGTCCTGACCACTAGAAAAATCAGAACCAAAGGAACTAGTCCTGTGTCATGTCCTTGCTTCTTAGCTCTTGCTGCATTTAATGTTTTTTCCAATATCCCATTCGTTGTCAACCGCAACAATTTGACATTTTTGAGGGGTTAAATATGCAATACTTTTCAGGAACCATGATGTTGAGAAAGGAGCATTCACCAATTTCACTAATATGTTGAAGAAAGAAAACACTTAGTCTGATCTATATATCGTGCCATAAAGATTACCCCAAAGGGAGATAGCACGTTCATATAAGCAAATATAGGCAAAAAGGACCCGATAAGCATGAATTCATGATGAACCACAAATCAGAGGAAAGGTAACTCCGATGGCTATTCACAATCATCAGGGTCAAGAAAGAGAGAGCAAATTTCACCCAGAACGAAACGGAACAACCATCAAAATGACATTTATTCCCCAAACTGGAAGCAGAGAACAAATTCAGGAAAGATCCAAAGAGCATACGAAACAGATCATTTGAAAGAAGAAGTCACCGGTGAGGTCGCCGGTGATGAGGACGAGGGACGGATTAATCATAGCAAGGGCGGGGCCGACGTAGCGCCGGAGGTCGTAGGCCCTCTCCGGATGGTGGACGCTGAAGTGGAGGTCGGAGAGCTGCACCACCCACACCACCGATTTGGGCTCCCCTTCCACCTCGATCACGTTCCCCCCCGGCTTCCTCGTCCGGCTCTCGGCCTCGGACTCGGGGGAGGATCGAGAGACCGGAAGAACCAATATTGCTACGAAAACCATGACGAGGAGGTGGAGGAACCACCATTTAGCCACGTCCATGGCGTGGAAGGATGTGCGAAGAAGACGAAGATGGCCAGCAACAGAAGTGGGTTAGACCAAAGAGAAGATTTTGGACAGAATGAGATCCACAATTGAAGCAATGGAAGCCTTCCTGCGTTGACATGGTGGGAAGTGGAGAAGGGGGCAAGCAGGAGGCTTCGCTACAGTGGCGGCATGTCTCAGATCAACCTAATGGATTGTGATGATGCAATCTCTGCCGTTACATCTGTATTTGATACGGCAGTGTATACGTTTACAAGTGCGTGCCGACCGGTACTTTCCGGTCCGGGTATGAACCAGTACGCGGGCCCTACCTTTTTCAGATGGTCCGGTCCGGTCATCCAAGAAATTAAGCGCGTCTCCGCTGATCGTGGTCCAGCCCCAATCGCGAGCGGAGCCTCGTCCGCTCCCCTTCTCTTCCGCAGCTGCCGACGACGACGACGACTACCGGGTAATATCCTATTCTCTTCTTGTACTAGTTAAAAAGTCTTAATGGAAATTGAATGATATATGTTGATTATACCAATCTTAACAAGATATGTCTAAAGATAACTATCCTCTCCTCATATCGTTCAATTTGTTGATGCTATTTAAGGCTATGAGCTTCACACATTTATAGATACATTCTCGGGATATAATCATATAGGGATGACACTATATGATTGAGAATACATCTCTTTTATCATTGATCAAGACATATATTATTATCATATCATGTTATTTGGGTTAAAAAATATAGACGTAACATATGATGAACAAAATATTTAAATATCAGAGAAACACTAGGATCTATGTAGATGATATGATTATCAAAAGCAAATGAGCGGATTCATATTTGATAGATTTTGTCGAGACAATTCAAATTTTAATGAGGTCCAAAATACATCTTAACCCATCGAAATGAGGTTCTAATGTTCAATTGGTATGTCATTTTCTTTTTGCCTTTGTTTGTTTCTGGAATATAATGATGGTCATTCCTCTCCTGCATCTTGATCACACTTGCTACTGCTAGTAATCGTGCCACTCTTTGCCCTCCTTCCCCTTCTCCTTGCTCTCGTCTCCTCCTTCGTCACTCAACCCATCCTAAATGAGGTGTGGTGTGCTATGACAGGATTTTTAAATTCGTTTGCCCTCCTTCCCCTTCTCCTTGCTCTCGTCTCCTCCTTCGTCACTCAACCCATCCTAAATGAGGTGTGGTGTGCTGTGACAGGATTTTTAAATTCGTTTATCCACTTTTACGTTGAAACTGAGCTGCGGCTGACTTATAAATCCCATTGCAGGAAGGATGAGGTTTTCGTCTTTTCTTTTCCCCGTTCTTGATGTTGCATAATATTTTGATGCTATTAACCTTTTCCTGCTTTGTCTCGGTCAATGACTTACCCGTATGTGATTCTTCGCGCTTGCCTGCGTCTTTGAATTCCGTTTCAAACTGTTCTTATTATCCCTCGTCATGCATGTGGCACTAGCGAAGCGTTCCGTCGTATGCTTTTGTCGAGGGTAATATTTTAATATTTATATTTTAAAAAACTACATCGGTATTCTTATACTTATGAAAACTAAACATTTAATCTCGTCTCTTCTCGTATTGTTGACTTTACTATGAGCAGATAGCAAAATAGAAAAAATGGGATGGTGTAAGAGATGACATCGTGGTTGGGTAGGTCGTACGGAGATAGCGGAGTTGGAGAGGAGGATAGTAAAACATAAGAAATGAGATGGTGCATAAGATGAGGATCGTCACCACGTCGTCGTTGGGTAGACCATTCGGGAGGATAGCGAAACCTAAGGAGTGGACAAAGCCGACGGGAGAATAGCAAGCTTTCATAGAAGTTATCATTATAGGAAATTAATATATTTGGATGATGAGAATCGAAATTATTTTTTTATCCTTAGCGTCATTTTTGAAAGTGATAACACATACGATATCTTTCGTCAATTGAATCAACAACATAAAAAAAATTAAATATTTTATTTTTATAAATATAAAGATACTAAGATAACTTTTTTTAAAAATCGAATATTCCCTTATCGCATTACAGTTAACGGAAGTCCTCTCCATCGTCGGATCGAATCTCACAAGCGTGCGATGCTCCCGGGGAAGACGAGTAGTGCGAAGTAACGCACACAAAGCATTAGGAGTGCCTGAAGAATGCTATTATAGTTTCACTAGACTCGTCTGAAGGTCGATCACCGAGCCCCGGTGCTCCATTTCTCATTGTGTTCCTCTATACAATTCAAGACAGATGACAATTCACGAGTTTCATGCGAGAGAAAGAGATGGGATAAGAAAAGAAAACACAACGTGCCAAGCTAATAATACCTTCATCTAATTTCCACACACGAAAGGTTGGGTATTAGAAATATCAAAAAGCCAAAAGAATATATAGTACTAGTGTTACTTACACATACTCTGAACTAAGCAAATACTAGCTAGCCCATGCATGCACAAAATGTGATTACAGTACCAATCACACCAAAATCTACAAAGAGACTCCTGGATGACCATTTAACTAAGATATGAATCTATGACAAATCCCAGAGGAGCACCACGAATACTTCCTCTGCGGGAAGGGGCCCGATTCACCGTCAATTGGACGTTGGGTGGTATGTCGGTCTCAGATGAATGACCAGAAATGCAGAGGGTTCCGGTATCATCCTGTTCCCAGTACACTTCCACCATCAGTCCTCTCGGGTGCTCCGATGATTCTGTTCCTGGAATCCCAACAAACCTAGCTCCTTTCGGGATCTGCATAGTCGCCAGCGGTGAGCAACGCTCCAATTCTAGATCTTTAAGTTTAGAAGACTAAATGGATTTACCAATATGACAAAACCAGCAACAACATAAGGATGAGATACTTATTTAATAATCTAATCCGTTTGTACAACCTTCAATTCTTATCTTTCCATCTTGTCAATCAAACAAACAAATCCAGTCCATATAAATCTTTAAACATATACCCTACCCGTAGGGAACTTTACTGATCGTTCCTATCAATTAGTCTGGAACCTATCCTTCTTAATTCTAGCAGACATGTATGCAGAATTGCAACTATGTTATTCTGGCTTCTCTGTATCGCTCAATGACATGACGAATCTAATAAGAGACTAATTACTAAACTAAACCATGCAGCAGAAATACAGTTCCATAACAAAATCCTTAAATGCTTTAGTAGAATTCCTCACCTGAATAGAAGGTCCGGATGACAAGTTCAGAGTAACCAGATTCTCCTCCATGGAAGAGCTTTCCAGCTCAGCTTGTTTTGCTATGTTTAGAAACACTTCCTCGAGGGTTGTTAGACCAAGTTGTATGTCTGAAATCCCAAATTCTTCCTCTCTATCTTGGAGCTCTGCAAAAAAATCCTGCCACCAGAAAGGGAGCCAGATAAGGGCCATTGTATAGATCAGAAAATGCATCCAGCCAGCCAAGGTTGCAAATAAATTCAGAATATGGGAGCATTAAGTTACCGTTAGAAGCCCCTCTTTTTGGTGGGGGATGACAAAAGTTAAAAATGTCATGTTCTCTTCTTTAGGATCCACATCTAACCGCTGTTGATTCCATTCCTATGTCAGGCTATCTCCAGAAAACCAGAAAAGAATCTTAATTTATATTGTATTGCACTTACATCTTTGAAGAACTGCTTCACAGGCTCAAGGTGAGGATTGCTTGTGGGTGCACTACCATAAACGTTGGGAGTTTGACCAGGTGCATTGCCAGGGAAACTCACATTTGCAACATAACCAGTCCCAAATCTTGATTTAAGTCGTATAGAGGTTCCTATACACCGCAATTTTCCCTTAGCCATGATGGCTATCCGGTCACTTAAAATGTCAGCTTCCTCCATGGAATGGGTTGTCAAAACAATAGCTCGTCCTCTTTTAGCATCTTCTATTATGTCCCAGACATGCCTTCGAGTGATTGGATCCATACCAGTAGTCTGCAACATAAGCCAACATAACAAAATTTCAATTGAAAGACTTGGTGACAAAACATATGTACAACACTCTGAAGTGAGCCATGGCTTTTCCCACCAAGGGGAAATGGACAGTCTCAATTGTCAATCTACTAAAGGATGTTAATTTTATGTGAATAAATAAAATCTATTATGTGGATGATGCATTACAATAAATTTACACCTAGTTAGTACTTAGATTTGTCAACATACTATGGTACTATTTATCCAGTTGATTAATATGCCTGGAACTGCAAGTAAAAGTTAAAAAAATAAAGAGATAATTGAATGAGCACTTTCATATGCCTTAAGACTCATTAAATCTATTATTTTGAAATAGTTTATTTAGCAAAGGATCAAAAAAATTATCAACAACACAAATATCAAACATTGAGTCATTTTTAAAGAAAATGAGATAGCATAAGAGATTGCTCACAGATTACCTTATGACAGAAAATGAGACAGCTATTGCTGTACCTGTGCTTCTTATGAATTTTGTTTATGCTCATAAATTATCTAAATTGTACAAATAAAATAGATATAACAAATATATAAAGCACAAATTTCTGTCTACATGTTATATCTTGTTCTACTTGTAAGACTAGCTGTGTTTCACTGTTTTGGCATGGGTATGGTGTATCGTGTCTAGTTCCGTGTCCATGCTTCTCATGGGTGGTTGGGACTCCCTAGCTCATGTACCTTTAATTTGCTTATTGATCACATTTGTCTCTAATCACTTCAGTAAAGTAGAATGTTTACAGTAATCTAAAGGAAGAGAGCGACAGAGAGACAAAAACAAGAAAATTGTAGATTCTTTTGGTCCTAATATTGTGTTTGTTATTTAACTACAAGGATTCCAGAATTAGTTTCTGCAAATTTCACAGCTTTGAACAAGCAACCTTCGTGATTCCATGCAAATATGCATTCCTACGCAAGTGTTTATAGATTTCTTCAAGAAACTACGGTAGCATATATTTATGGCTAACTTTCATCACATACTGGCTCATCCAAGAAAACCATTTTTGGATCCCCAATGAGGGCTATTGCAACACTGAGACGACGCTTCATCCCTCCACTATAGTTTCCAGATCTAACTCGAGCAGCAGTAGTAAGTTTTACCTCTGCTAATGACTCTTCAGCTACCTGCACCACCATATAGCATATTATGAGAAGAAGATACGTTGTTAACTTAGAGGAATAAACCATCCTGGCTAAAAATGCTATACGAATCATATAAACCATTTCCAGTTAATATAAGGTTTTTTAACTGATAAATATTCATTAAAATTGTCAATTTTAAACGTAGACAAGGGATCTTCTTTGGTGAGAAGAGGCCCTTTGCCTGCCAAAAAAAATTTGATCTTAAAACTTAATGTTCATCAATGCAGATTATAGATATTATATAGACAAAGAAGGACCAAATGCTAGGAGGGTCTTCAGCACCCACCGATTTTATTGTTGATGGAGGCAAACCTTTGATACTAGCAAATAAATGCAGGTGTTCTTGAGCTGATAATTCATCCCATAAGATATCAAACTGGCAAATAGAGAACCACAGACCAGACTTTAATTAGTTTCCCTTTCTAAACAGTCAAAAGTAGGTATTCGCTATCTTATCAACCTATTATTGGGATGAAATGAAGCATACCTGGGGACAAACTCCTATCATCCTTCGAATATTTGACATACCCACTGAGCTCCGAACTGAATATCCATGAATTAATGCTGTAAGCAGATAAAATGACTTAGCAACATGGCATTTCTTCTGTTCACACATAATGGAAGGATAGATTAATAACGCAAGATTATTCTACCATCTCCTGCTGTAACCGGTGTAACACCAGTAAGGCAATTAATCACAGTGGTTTTCCCAGCTCCGTTAGGTCCAAGAAGGCAAAACAGCTGGTCTTTTGCAAGGTTTACCCATATTCCCTAAGTTTCAATACAGTATTATGAAATGTTCAAGCAATACATGCATGGCATCTATAAGTTCTGGCACAAACTGACAAGTGAAATGGTAAAAAGAGGAAATACCTTGACAGCATGATATGGTGAAGATCTCTGGCACTTGCAACAACCAATTTTCATAGTTCCAGGATATGTTTTTGTTAGACCACGTATTTGAACTGCAACATTTGGATCAACTTCATTAGTAGCAGCTTGCTGCTTTACACTAGTTTCCTCTGCTAGGACATCCTCATCACTTGGAGTAGCATCATCCAATGGTGGAATTGAACCAGAACAGCTACAGAGACTACCTTCTGATGTACAGAGAATGAATATTTTAGAATCCTCTGAATTCATACTACATATGGAGCAATAATAAATTTGAAAAATAGAAAAATTGGTCATACCTTCCACCCTGTTTCCATCATTCCCAGTCCAGTATGAGGGATTCAGAAAATAAAACATTGATTTTCTCACACCATTTGAGTTTGGAATAATATTGTCAAAGTAAATTGCCAAAATGAACCACACAAAGAATGTTGATATGAGCCATTTATAGATATCTTCCTGTTAAATATATATGATTATCATCATACCTAACCATCATAAAGAAGATAACAGCAAACTTTACGCTCAGAATGAACTCATATCATACAATAGTTATAGTGCAGTCAGGTTCATATGTAGTGCATTCTCCACGCCTGCCCCAACTAATTCCTTCATCTTCAGAAGTAGCTGTCTCATTGCCTAGCAAGTCAAGAGCTTTGGCAAGAAGGTTGGGGGGAAATAGAGACCATATAACTCGATAGAGTTTTGTGAAGTTGCTATCATATGGAAACCCGAATACTGTAACAAGCTGTGGTGACAAGATATGTTAATTCAATTTTCAATCTGTACAGTAAGATGCATTATCAAGCTTGCGATTATCAATATGAAAACTTCACCTGAGTCAAAAAACCGATTATGAATATTGAGAACCCAACTGTATTTGCTGATGATGACTTACTGACGAAGGCTGATATCATAAAAGCAAAACTTAGCTGCAAAAAATAGATTGTGTAAGATTCAAGGAATATTGGCACAAACATGTAGAATAAGCAAGGAAATTTTGGAAAGATGATTCATATCCAAACTATCCTAATCAAATGCCATACATATGCTAGAGAAAAAATTACCATATTAAGTTGGAAAAGGAAGAACAAGAGAAACAGAACAGCAAAACTGTTATGCAAGAAAAAGTTGAATTGAAACATCATCCCGAACAGGACTGTGAAAAGTGCTGCAACCACCGTCAGAAAAGCCTCCCATGTAAACCAAGAAAGCCAATAAGCAGAATCATATAGGCCCATTATGGACATAGCCTGCAAATACTTAAAAGAATGAATCATTAGCATTTTGAATTTGCAAGTAGGAGAGGTCAACAGATGAAAACCTCAAGACCAAGATAAGCATTACAACCTGACGAAGTTTAAGTTCTTTTTCAGTGACCAAAGAGCTAATTTGAAATACAAAACCAAACATGGCGATCGCAAGGAAGAAGGTCGGTCCTGCAGTACCAACAGCAGAAAAAGTTTCTGTGGCCGGGTGAGCAAACTCCTTGAACCCCACCGTCCACTTAAAATTTGGATCTGCAGTAAGAAAATCCTAATAAGTAATAGAAACAAAGTGAAAGTAAATCAGCAATCAAATTAGTGAATGATAACCTACAGGATTCTCAAGTTTCAAGACATCAAGAAGGGCATTGAGAAGTTTATGACAGCACAGAAAGTCATTTAAGAAGCTGTTTTTGCTTTCATTTGAAGTGATTATCTTATAATACATTAGCAGATATTTGTGTATTACTGAATTAATGTCAACAAATTCAAGCTTGCTCAAGATAGATGTAGTTATAGATTGAGTTTAGAAGCTACCAAGTATGACTTATCAAACATTCAAAGATCAGCAAACAGAAAATGTCTATAGCACCTCCAATCAAGGATCTAGAGATTTCACGCTCTGCAGCAATCTGAAGTGGGATTTGAAATTTGAAAGTAGGGTCCTCATAGCTTCCTCGTTTGGCTACAGCAGTAGAATTCGTCTGGATTCCATAGCTTATGACAGTCGAATTCCTCTCCACAAAATGCAAAGCACCTGGGCACCGCATAGGATTGCTTTCAAGCCATGCATCCACTTCAGCTTGAGTTCCGAAAGATTTGACCTATAATATTGATGTGTAGATCACTTCTTTCAGAAGTACTAAAAAACAATTACAATGGCTATCTTAAATGTTTCATTGGAAAAGAAAAGTGATGGTGTATCTAATACAGTTGTGGGCTAACAAACTAGCAAACTTGGGAACACGTATATAAAGCTCAAGAACAAAGAACTGCAGCTTAAAGACAACAAAAGATTGGCACAGAACAAAGCTATTCTGGAGAGATGGAAGACTAAAACAGTCTTCCCGGCTTATGCCATGCATCATAGTGTTTAGTCACATTGACTACAAGACCAGTAGCAGGAGGAAGATTAAAATTTTGACTATCTATCTGGCTTACTTATGCAAGAAAAACAGTAGGAATGTGGAGATTATCAGCATTTGAACAATCAAAACCATAGATACTAGAAAATACCCTGTCCTCGAGTCCAAAGGCATATTCCTTAAATTACTACTAACTACCAAGAGATTGGGAACATTAAATATTGATTAAAGGAAAATAGGGATGAAAGGGTGGAATTCTTTATTGAATGTGATGGATTCTTATATACTAAACTTGATTGTGCAAGTGTAGGATATGCCATTAAGAATGCAAGGGGAGGTTTGGTGGCTGCTGGATGTACCAACTGCAGAGTTCAAGGTGCTAAGCAGGCTGACTGCAGAGCAATCAGTGAGGATCTTTAAAGGGCTGAAAGCAAACTGTGCGTCGAATCAGGTGCCTTGGAGATAATTCATTATATCAACAATCAAAAGCCATGGCCTTGGAGGTTGAAGAGTATGGGAGATGACATTAGAAGAATTAGTTCTAATGTGAATGTTATAAGTTTTGTTTACATTCCTAGGCAATTTAAATCTCCTGACCCATAGTATTGCCAAACTCAGTAGCAGATTACACTTTCTTGCGTATGGGAAGCTGAAGCTTCCTCATTTTTGTGTACTAATGCTTGTATCGAACAAAACAGAGAAAAAGGAAATCGATGGCAGACCTACTGTTTTATTCACTCAATTCCTTCAACTTTATAAAAGAAAAATTAGATAACGCAATCAAGCTGTCCAGTAATTAGACGATAAATACGGATCACCATGACTGCTGTTTTCGATAGCACGTTTTCAGTAATCTACTCGAAGAAAATAATAGAAGTTCCTTTCGATTCCCTGCAAAGCCAATTCGCCAAAGAACCAGTACTATAACAAGGTAAATCAGGAGGAACGGGTAGGAGAATTTCCAAGGCCCTACCACCAGAAATAAATGATAACAAGAACTGACCTTCTCGGCGGGGATTTCCCTGCCGGGGTTATTCTTCATAATGGCGGAGACGATGGTGGCGATGCGGGCGCTGGCGTTGCCGCTCCAGATGAAATCGTGGCAGGGGGTTTTGACGTAGAACTTGTCTTCGCAGGGGGGGATGGGGGGCAGGATGAGGGGCTGGGGGTCGTGGACGTTCTTGTAGGCGGTGGTAGAGGAGAAGCGGGACTTGACTGCCTTGTCGATGCAGAAGATGAGAAAGATGAAGAAAAGGGAGGAGAAGAGCTGGAGGAAGGCGGACTTTTTGTGGCGCCACGTCAAGATGAAGTTCTTCCTCAGCAAGGCCGCATACTGTTGCGTGATCAGGGGTACGCCGCTATTCAGCTCCATGGGAGGGACGAGAGAAGGCCCTTCTTCTGCCTGTTCCCTATGCCAAGAACCGCCGGAGGAGGCGGCGAAAGTATGGAGGGGGAAGCGTTTCACTTTGGACTTCGGAGGGGGAGGAGATTACTGGAAGGGGCCATTTATAAATGACTTCATAAACATAGACGACGGAGGGCTCTTTGGGTTGACTCATCGCCGGGATCGGGATTGTGGTACGGGGCGATCGCCGCAAGTACTTTCAAGTTGGAATTTTCCATGGCATTGATTGATGGTACGCGACAAACCAACGATTTCCGTAGGTATTTGAAGCTCTTGATTAAAACCCTGCTCAGTTTATTTTCCTTCTTAGATTCTTGATTTGAGGGAGTGTTGGAAGGTGAGATTTGGATGATGCATTTCTTAACGATGCACATTTTGGAGTGAGAGTTTGGTTAAGATATCGATATTTCAAACCCCCAAAGAGAGGAAATGTAGATGGGGTCCATGAAACTGGGGAGGTACCAATTTGGGTATTTGGCACATTTGACACCGACTGCACCGTTTCTTCTATTCTATTCTATATATATATATATATATATATATATATATATATATATATATATATATATATATATATATATATATATAT